CAATAGAATAATTAATGTTAGTGGCTTGGTACAGATATATTTATTATTAAATTAATAATTTAATAACGATGTTAATTCTTACGTACTTCCAATATTATGACAACTATTTTACCGATGAGTTAAAATGGGCAAAGGGAAAGTGATTGACCGAGCTCTAATTTTGTTATTTTTTTAAAAAAAAAATTTTAGTAGGAAATATATTTGAGAAGATCCCCATCATTGGCCTTTCCGCCAAAATGGTTATGCTTCTTTTGAATTGGCTCAAACCACCTAGTTTGTTCTCATACGATTAAAATCTCAATTTTAAACGAGTTTAAGGTCCACCGATTTTATAGTAAAATCAGGATCGGAATCCCTAAGTAAAATCCTAAAATCCTACAATTTTACAATCAAAATCCCAATTTTGACTGCATTGTAAAATAGGAATAAAGTAGTAGAATCCCTCACGTACTAATACTCAAACTATGCAACTATCATGCACCACACGTCAATCAATCTAATCAATTCAAAGCACATCGAGTAGGCAATTGCAAGGACAAGGTGTTTTGGAACCCTCAAATTTGAATAAATTTGAGTGTAAAATTCAAGGTTCCAAAAACACTTAAATTTCACCACTCATCACCACAACATAAAAACTATTGCTAGCACCACTCCCATAAGCGTTTATCAACGTCTTACATTCACAAACAATAGAGGATACTAACAATCAACGGTTCAACCAATCATGATAGACATTCAAACAAACACAAACATCCCCCACACTTGAGCAACACATTATCCTCAATATGGGAGTTTCCAAAGAAAAGATCGTGAATGTTAACATAGACCGTGTTGTGGTTTGGTGAAGGTTCACAAGTGTAGTCTTTGTCTTCCTGATGGTTTTCACAACGATAGAGTGCATAAAATAGAGAGGAAGATGAATAGGAGTTATAGGTACGATATATATAATAATAAGCACTACTACTAGTGCTAGAGTAATTAAAGTATGAAAAGTAAAAAGAAAATAAAGCAATAATTAAACATTGTTTTAATTTGAAATCAAGAAAAGCTGAGAAAAAAAAGATAGAACGTAGGCCCTGGATGCCAAGAACCCATTCCTCCTCAGAGGGCCCTTCTTGTTCATCGTGTAGGAGTGTTGGGGAGGTGAAGCGGTTGAATGTGGTCGGTACATCGTCGATCGGAATGTTCATCTTCTCCATGATTGTGTGCATGGACGCCATGATATATAGCCGCGCTCCCCTCTCCCTCTGTTGGTTGTGAAGGATAACAGCTATCATCGCCTCAATTCTATAATCTCTTGCATTGTTGCTCGGTGGGTGAATCAGCCGAAGAGTGGGAATAGGCGCCTCTCCTCCTTCATGCACACTCTCTTATTGATCTTCCTCGGTTGCCAAACCTCTTCGGTCCCTAGCCATTCTAACTTTCGGAAGACGGAAAATTTTCCCTTCCATCTCCATATATTGGTGGTTGGAAATGGGAATCCTCGAACCCCCCAAATGCCATCATCGCTCATGTGTAGCATCTTAAACTTTGACTTCAAAACCTCGAAGGACATAAGAGCGGTCCTGCTATCCATTCAAATTGTACGGCTCCGAAGTCAACTTGGAAATATCTGGCAAGTCAGGTGACAAACACTCCTCCGTGAAGTGCGACAAGTCAGTGATCCGTCTCGTAACGCTTGAATATAGATAAGATAGTCAACCCAAGATGAAGAGCTCGTGGAAGATGCATGCTATGAAACAAGGTGACATCTCGAGCAGTTAGGTGTCCCTTTCTCTGGTTCCTTCCTCCCACGGATCTAGCAATCACGTGGTGTATGAGCTGCCACTCCGGCTTCACCTCACTGGATTTTGATAACTTCACTTCCCATTGTCGACTATCGGGTTTATCGACTTCAGTCTCATAGAATGTCTTGAAACAAGGGACGTCGGATTCCCTTGTCAAGGTAGAAAAGTCATCAGATGAATCAATGAAACTCGCCGGGTAAATGTTCATCGCTCTAATGAACTCCCGGATCGACATATGGCGATGCTCTACCCCGAGTTGAAACTGGATGTTATCTTCAAGTTTGGTGGCACCCCTCATATCTTGAATACTAAGAGTACTGATAAACTCGAGAACAAGCACCCGATATATATGTTCTTGAATAGAGAGCAACTTGAGTCATACCAACTTCCGTACTTTAGAGCAACTGATTTGGGAGAAAAGGGTCCAATTGAAACAAGAAATTTTGCCTAGAGGTAATCCTTGAAGCCACATAAGCTTGCTCTTGAATTACTCGGGTATGTGTTCAAAAAAGTAGTGAGTGATGTGCTCAACGCCACCTTCTACAATTGCTTGATCATCTTAATCAAGTATCCTTGATGGATGTTGAATATGTGAGGTTGAATGAGGCTCTTCTGTAAAAACTTCTTTTGATTTGGATTTCCTTGTTTTCTTCTTTTGACTTTGGAGAAGACGATAGGTGCGAGATGATGAGCTCTCACCATGGGCCATACCTTTTTGGTCTTGTATATTATCCTTCAAAGCAAGTGGTACACATTTGCACAAACCATCAATCCAAATACCACATGACAAAAAGGCAACATTCCAATGAACTATCATTAGACCTCTAAATTCCCCCCCCCCCCCCCCACACACTTGAGTGAGACTAAGAATTTGGCAAGAGAGGGAAATTAAATAGAGGGATAGCTCCAAGATAATGTAATTAAGGATATCCCTTAATCAATATAAAAACAATCAATGATCGTCACCTCCATGCTAGGAAGTTGATATCTAATCAAAAGGGTTGAAAATAATGAACTATATGTGGTTGGGGACTTTCTACGAACACTTGGTGGGTGGTTTTTTCAAATGTCATAAATGCATGGGAACAACCCACTAAGGTTTCTAAAGTAACATAGATGGTTCTCTTTACAATTCCTTGCCAAAAAGATGTTATTCTAGGTAGACTTGAACCACACTCTCTATTCAATACTAACTAAGCCAAGTACAACCTAGATAGGGTTGTAGTAAAGTGGCTCGGTCGTATTCCGAGGGATCCCTAAGTGTATTATTACTTCGCTCTGAACTACAATCTAATCAGGATGGAAGTTTGGTGAGGGGTTTTAACTAAATTAACCGACTCCTAAGGCAAATTAAACAACCAACCAAGTGGTTGTGAGTACGCTAGAGATAAGATGGTTGCCTAGGGTAGAATCCTCCTAGCTAAGGTTGTAAACTAGGGTAATCGAATGTGGTGAGTGAGCTCTTTTCCGTGGGCCTTCGTCGTTATCCACACGCCTCCGAGTACTCCTCCCCTAAACCCATGTTTCAGTCACCTCGATCTAGTCTATCCTATCTGAGGCTTTAAGCTTATGGCTCATTTCAATGGACACTATCCACCGTCCACACCGAAGTTTCATCCCAGGTTTCATCCAAGAAGGCTACCTATAACAGGGGTTCGGTCGCCTCAACCACTATAGGCCCCCATTCACACATCTAACCTAAACTCGCCTGATGGTGCATACCCGTCTAACCCTAGAACTCCTTACCCAGCACAGTTGCATAAATTAGGCTAAGAGGGAAGATTAGGGTGACTTACCCAAGCATCATCATTTAGGAAAGAGTGGCATTAAGAATCTACTAGACAAACACATTCATTCATTCATAAACCAAATATTCACAACCTATAACAAGGGTTCATCTACCCTAAACAACCATTAGAGATTCAAGTCATTAGAGATGAAGAAAATAAAAACTAGAAGAGGGTAGTGATGGAATCAAGCTCCTTCTCCTTGGGTTGATTTGATCTTCAATGAAGCTCTCCCAAGGTGTTTTTCTCTCTAAAGCACTCCAAAACCCTAATTTTCTCACCCCAAGGCAGCTCTCCTTTGAAAATTGTAGCAAGAAGGATATTTATAGAAAGCTGATGGCGGTCAAGGCCTCCAAGGCGTGACCCGATGGTCACGGCCGTGACCAGTTGGAACGTCTCCGAATCGCCCAAAACAATGAAAATGCCTTGAGAATAGAAGCTAGATAACACTTATTTTAGGTGTTATCAAACTCCCCCACACTTAGGCGAATGCTTGTCCCCCAACAAACCTACTAAAACCTAATGCAACATGATAGACAAATCAATGAGGTATGCATTCTAGTTCTTCATTGCTTAGATAAGAGTATATGGGATGAATGAACGCTACTACCTTCCTACTGTGCAAGCACAAACTCTCGTATGAGGACCATATCTACTACCTTTGGCCGATCATTAAAAATGTGCTCTGGGGGTTTCTTAGACAACAGACACCTACTAGAACTATTGGAGGTGCTTTTTTTGGCTTAATTGCAAGTTTGGTCACCCGAATTGCTTAAAAATTTCACGTTTGCCACTCAAATTGATTTATTCCATTTATAGTCACTCGAATTAGTTGAACAGTCCAAGTTCGGTCACTCTCCGTTAACCTCCGTTAGATTCCGTTAATAACGACCGTTAAGTGATGACGTGACTAACAGCTCAGCCTTACCAACCCTGTCAGCCATTCTTGTCCAACCCGCAAACCAACCCAATTAATTGACCCTAAACCCAAACCCTCAGCACGGCATTCTCGATGGCAAGAGGCAGTCCGTCTTCATGAAAGCCTGGGCTCACACTTGCAAGCAGATCGTCGAAGACGGAGGCGTCGATTTCCCACCGCCGCTACCGAAATCGCTGGCTCCGGTCTTCGATCGAACAGGCATCGTCGACTCGCGGGAAATTGCGGTGGAGTATTTGGACGATTGGTTCCGATTCCGGCTCAATCTGCCAGGGATGGATCCCAATCCAAACCCTAGAAGCTTGGAGCTGCTATGGAGCTTGGTAGATGGAGATTCCAAGAGACTGTGAGCGACCTTCGATTTCTCGAAAGAGAGAATCAAGAAGCTGAAGGAGTCTCTGATCCCCAAATTCCCCAACCCTAATTACCTATCGAGATCCGTACAATCGGAGGCGGTGGTGTGGCTGTTGGACTACTGTTGGTGACGAGATGGTAGAGCTGCAACAGGCGGCGAGATGGTTTTGGATCCACGGTTTGCCATGGCTCACACTGACCCTCAGTTCCAGAAGGTTCCCCAGCGCAAGACGAAGGTTGCTATCGATTCCATATTCAAACGCATGTTCACCAACAAGAATTTCGGTGGCTCCTCCACAAATTTAGACAAGCGTGGCAGGTGAAAGAAGCAGGACTCCAAGAGTTTGTTTCGCCATTATTATCATGTTGAGCCATTATTATCATGTTGAGGAAGGTGAAGAGTAAGGAGAAGGAAAATTGAAAGAAATCGAAAGCGAGGAAGAAGAAAGTGAGAGGGAGGAACCAAAAAAGCCGGTTCTTCGCCATGGTCCTAGAATCGCCATCGACGGGCGGTCACGGCATCGCCTTCGTCATCTCCCCCACCATCGATTTCACCCACGCCGTCTCCAGCCAGCACCTGGGTCTCTTCAATTCCACCAACATGGGCAGCGAATCCAACCGCGTCGTCGCCGTTGAGCTCGACGCGATGCGCAACCCCGAGTTTCAGGACATCGACGACAACCATGTCGGGCTCGACCTCAACACCCTGACAAGGAATCGGTCGCGAATCTGGATTCGGCGGCGGGGGCTGCAGCAGGGAGGTCGAGGGGAAATCCCCCCGGCGGCGGCGGAAGCAGTGTATAAAGGAAGAAGAAGAAGGGTGGATGGGTCACGGTTTGATTTCTAGGTGGGTTAATGGTTTTTTTTGGGTTGGGTGGGTTGGGTTGTGTTTATATGAGGTGGCATGTTTTTCTGACGTGGCGGGTCAATTTTTGTTTTTTCTTGGGTTAAAATTGGGTGATTAGGCATCTTTGTTAGCCATGTCAGCAGTTAACTGACGGCACTAACGGAGTCTGACGGAGGTTAACGGAGAGTGACCGAACTTGGACTGTTTAACTAATTTAAGTGACTACGAATGGAATAAACAAATTCGAGTGACCAAACGTGAAATTTTGTAGCAATTCGAGTGACCAAACTTGCAATTTAGCCTGCTTTTTTTTTCTTTTGATGTAGGATTTGTCATTTTTTGGTCTCCTTTTTCTTCGTTCATGCACATTGCACCGAACCTTTGCAATTTTTTTCATTGCATAATAGCATCTCTCCCTCATGACCAAGAGCGGATGAATCATAGCCTTCCCTTTCAAGGTCACATATGGGGAAATTGATGGTCAGATTCGTCTTAGCCCGAGCACCATGTCCCAGCCTGCACTCCACATTGGGTTGCCACACATGTCGGGTACAAACGAGAGCTATGAAGTCTCATGAATCGCTAAAATGTACCTTTGGTTATTAGCATATGATTCCATGAGGAGGAGAGATGTGTGGGGGATGGTAAGTAGTAAGAGATGATCAGGACACAATAAAGCTATCTGAACCCCAAACACATCATCGACGGGCACTCCGAGCCAAGAGAACAATCCTTTTATGGTTGATCTCAATTCCTTGCCCGGTTGCCACTCACTTCAGAGCCTCTTTTTATTTTCTTAAGCACAAATTGTAAAAGTTCCTAGTTCACATAAAGAAGAGAATCTCGCACACAATCCCTTCCTAAGGTAGCAAACATTATCGACTCACAAAAGAGGTAGAAAGTAGTCGGATCCCTCACCTACCGATACTCAAATTATGAAACTATCACCTGAGATGCACAACACATCAATCATCTAGCAAATCAAATCATATTGAGTAAGGAGAATGCAAAGGGGGCCAACTTGGAGCCCTCAAATTTGAAAAAAAATTGGGCATGCATACAAAGCTCCAAGTGGTTAAATTATGCTAACTCATCGTCCACAATCACTCCAAAAACACTCTCTCTCGTGATCAAGCTTTTAAACATTCATGGGGTAGGAGAGTAATCAATAACAACATTCCACACAAGCATTCATGCATAACCCCCACACTTAAGGAACACATTGTCCTCAATGTGAGAAAGGTAAAAGGATAGGGGAACGAAGTTAGCAAAAGGCTTTGTCGAGGTGATTGTGGGATCGAAGGGTAGGGTGGGTGGTTTGATCTCCTCCCAAATTTGAGAAATCGCCTTTTGGACTCCATATCTCAACCTCTAGATGACACTTTTAGTTTTTGTTGGTGTTCTTGATCATGGTGTAGTGGTGCTTGAGGCTTGAATCGTTGTGTGGAGTTTCAAGTGGTCCGGTCTCTCCATTGATTGGAAGTTTATAGTTCGTTCCATTTCCGGCGGAGGAGCATGGGAACTCTCTCCTCTTCAAAGGATTTACCCTTATAAAGGTTCCTACGCTCACAAGAACGATTCATACCCATCGATGCCAAACAAATTTCATCAATAAACAAAGAATGCATTGAACACATCACATAATCCCTAGGATCCGAACTCATACACCCCCACACTTGATGGTTACTGGGTCAAACAAGGGTGCAAAGTGGAAAACAATGTCGAAATAGGTAGTTAACAAACTTGATTGATTGGTTCTATTGACAACATGTCATCTAGGGGTTTTAATGCCATGGCCAAAGGCAATAAGCAACCTAAACGACTAAGGTAGGGGTATGGATCGATTGCTCAAAAATAATATCAAAGTGGTAAGCTTTGGTGAGCAAAGGGAACTTACACCTTATAGCAATCAATTAAGATTCTAAACTAGCTAAACATGCTTCTAGGGGTCTAACATAAGCATTTAAGTTCATTTGGCATGCATCAAAACATTACAAGCACAAATTATGTGGTTTGGTAATTTCATCGAGCACTTGGTGGACGACAATTAAATAAAATGGAACCATGAAATTCATACCCAACAACGCCTCCAAACCACATACCTTCATTCATAAGCATGCAGCACACAACAACATTTCATCATTTGCTCGTCACTTTAGCCCATTAGAACTCATTCTTAACTAAGGCATGGTAATTTAATACTACCTACACTACAAACTAACCTAAAAAAAATTCAAACATGCAAGTTCTTTATTGAATGGTAAAGGAAAAGAAAATGCAAATTGATGTTGGGTTGCCTCCTAACTAGCGTGTCTTTTAGGTCGTTTCACCGGACCGTTGTCTTCAAGTATTCAGTCCATCTCAAGACCTCCTTGAAGTTGAGGTTCTTGTCGGTGAGGTGGTGTCTAAAGTCCCGACCTTTGGATGCTTCAAATAATGTGAATGACCCGTGGACTTGGTAAGAATTGTGCCTCCACCCACGTGACCTCTTCTTCTTTTCTTCTTCTTTCTTCTCTTTGCCGCATACCATGTAATGCAATATTGATTGACCATCCTTGAATCCACCAAGAGGGAATATCGATGGTGTGGTCTTGGCTTGGCGAATTAGAATCCGCAAAAGGATCCTTCTCTAAAAGTGTATGAAGGTCGGGTGGAAAGCTTTGAGAGCACATATAACTTGTTGAAGCTTCATCCACCCTTCCTTGTCCATTGATTGGACTCCGATTGCATCTTCAACCTCCTCTCCTTTTTTTGGAAAATCTTCCCTATGTCGAGTAGCAAGCTCTTCCTCTTCTTCACTTTCTCCTTCCTTCCTGACAACATCATCAATGCCCCCTTCTTTAGTTTCTTCTTCTTGATGATTGGGAGCAATGATGGTTTTACAAACAAGCTCTTCAATAGATGGATCTTCAAGGTCCGCTTGCTTGTCAACCCTTAAGACTTGTTCCTCTTCTACTACCTCCTCTTTTGCTTCATTCTTGATGTCAAGGAGGAATTCTTGATTGAGTCTCGAGGAAAGTTGCTCAATAACTCTTCCGTTCTCCTCTATCCTCTTGAGCATCTCTTCTTATTCCTTGAGGAATTTTTAGGTAGAAGAATCAGGAATTCCCTTGATTAAAGATGTCCCTATGGTCCCTACCTTTTGGAGCCAACTTCCCCCTCGTCTATCATTTAAAATCTGGAAGCAACCTGGAGGAAGGTTGGGCTTGCTAACATCTAGATACTATATTGGGATGTTGTAGTGTTCGGATGCTAACTCTCCAAAGCTCTTCGGTGTAGGTGGTGGTGAATGTTAAAGTGCATGGAGAGGTGGTCATTATCGTACCCGGACCCTTCGCTAGCACCACTACTAGAAGCTTCAAGATAACACCAATTCAGCCTGTGGCGATCTCCCCGCTTATCGTACCAACCATATGGATCAATAGCTAGGCCTAAATACTATCTATATTCACAAAAACAAAAACAACCTACGAAAGCAAAAGTGTGAAAAGAAAAGAAAACACAAAGATAACGAACACTTAACACAAGATAACTAAAGGAAACCTAACTAAAAAGAAGAAGAAGAATACGAGAAAGAAAATATGACATCACAAGCACAAAACACAAGAAAAAGGCAGCACAATTTAATGCTATAAAATACAAAACACGACAACAGAAAGCCAAGCTGGGTGAGGGGTTTTAACTAAATTAACCTACTCCTAAGGGAAAATAAACAACCAACCAAGTGGCCGGGAGGAAGCTAGAGATAAGATGGTTGCCTAGGGTAGAATCCTCCTAGATAAATTTTTAAACTAGGGTTAATCGAATGTGGTGAGTGAGCTCTTTTCCGTGGGGCTTCGTCGTTATCCACATGCCTCCGAGTACGTCTCCCCTACACCCATGTTTCAGTCACCTTGATCTAGGCTATCGTATATGGTGATTTAACCTTATGGCTCATTTCAATGGACACTATCCACCGTCCACGCAAAGGTTTCATCTCGGGTTTCATCTAGGAAGCCTACCTATAACAGGGTTTTGGTCGCCTCGAACACTATAGGCCCCCATTCACACATCTAACCTAAACTCGCCATATGGCGCATACCCGTCTAACCCTAGAACTCCTTAACCAGCGCGGTAGCATAAAGTACGCTAAGAGGGAAGATTGGAGCGATTTACCCAAGAATCGTCATTTAGGAAAGAAAAGGATTAAGAATCTACTAGACAAACACATTCATTTATTCATATCCCAAACATTCAAAACCTTGATACAGGCTCATTTGTACACTTTTTGCCCCCGATTTGCTTAATCGTGTGAAGCGCTTTTACTCTAGGAGGTTTGGTTTTACGCCGGGTTTTGCCTTGTTTTGGTGTTTTTCACCTGGAGTCCAAAGTTGGAAAAAGGGCTAAAAATAAAGTTGAAGGATGGAAGCAGCAGCGGATCACGGTTTGGGGTGTGTGTTCACGGTCACTAAAACTGTGA